CATAACTAAAAACAAACAAAACAAAAAACCAACACACACACACACACCACAAACTCATTAAATACTAAAGGAGTAGGAAATTAAGCCAAATGAATGACACTTTAAAAAGTCAGTTATTCTCTGAAAATGTTGACTTTAACTAAGGAGAAGAAATAGACAATTTCTAATGTTTGTGAGCAAGTTTTTATATAAAAACCATGGACAGCATAATCCACAAGACAGGGAATGTGTTTTACCTGTTTATCTGCTCGGTCCAATACACTGAACAGTAAAGGAGGAATTAAATTTTCAACAGCTTTTCCCACATCACTGCGAAACGTATCACTAGCTGGTAGACAACTGAGTTTAACACAGAACAACAAAAGACACCAATTTAGAACCCTGACCTTATTAAGAATCTATTACTGTATCACTGTTTAAATGCAGAATTTACTAACAAAAAAATACTTTTAAAAAAAAATCAGTGTTTCCACTACATTATATTTATTCATTTTGCCAATTTTTCAATATAGAACTATACAGATGCCCATTCAGTCATTTAGGTTTATTTCACGTAAACTAAAAATCGCGATATAAACAGAGGGCTACTCATAAATGTATCCAGTTCAGTCTACTTCCATCTCAATGGCCTTAGAAAAGAAAGAAGATGAGCTTTGCAGTGGACCTGGGAGGTTCAATCTAGCCTCTGGTGGACCAAGGAGGGGAAGGAGTGAGTGCCAAAACCAAAGATTCCTCACAAAGCACCCTACCAGCAACTCCCTCCCATTTATATTGAGGGAGCTCTAGCTCAAGCCTTTCTGCTGATCCCTGCTGCGGCAGTATATGATGTGGAGAGAGATGCTCTCTCAGATAACTTTATCCCAAACCAATTAGGGCTTTACAGGTTTAAAGTAACACTCTGAACTCCACCTAGAATTCTACTGAACCTTATTAGATTCTGCATACAAAACCTAAACGTTTATATATTATGAAGAGACATGCTCCCCAAACAAATACAGTTGTCCAGTCAGAAGACTGTATAGAATTGAGAACAATTAAAAAATTAAAATTTCAAGTGGCTACAGATACTATATTTAAAGACAATAATTTTCTAGCTCAGATTGAGAGAACTGTATAATTTTCCTGTCATATATAATGAATTATGATCCGAATCATGTGTAACTAAAATTTATTTACAACAGCATGTCATTACAAAATCAAAGCATCTTGGATAGGCTGAGACAGGAGGTCTTTCTCTCATGACACTAACTAAAAAGAAAAGTGATAAAACTGCTCTCTAAAAAACATCAGATAACTGATTCCAGGGCTGGAGAGACACTCTTGTATATTGTACCAATCAGCAGGCCCACGGACCGGCAACATGTTACTAAGAAATATTAGCTTGACCTGGGATACTGTTAGTAGGCTTATGTCTAGGACAGAGCTGGTTCCAAAACTCGTCCAGATAATGTTCAAGACATGCGGTACAGAAATCAGATCAAACAGTGGCTTAGGAAAGGTTAAACAGGATCTCACCACATAATCACAGAAGCATAAAACAATTTTGCACTGGCTACAAACTCAGCAAGAATCACAGCATATTTCATGCAAATGGAGTTGAGAAAGAGTGTAGCCTATAAAGATGATGTTTGCTTATACCAATGTGCTGAAATGTAAGTAGAGAATACGTTTTTGGGCCTAAATTTGGGCTTGAAGATAATAAGGCCTAATAAAATATGAGTAAAGTAGACAATTCAGGGTCAAGTTAGAGGTAAGGTAGGACAGGTCACGCAGCAAACATATTTTGGTTTTAACAAATGCTCTAGACAAAATGTGTGTGTTTTGGAAGAATGTTATCTGTACTAATAGTTACTGGAACAATATTTACATAGATGTTAATTAAGATGACATTTCATATGAAATAGCCTATGATAAAGTAGAAAATATTTAATCATGGTGGTGGAAATATAGATATGGTAAAAGGTGGGCCTAATTCATTAAGGGGTATTATTATAATTGATTATAAAAATGGTAGCATTAATTTTAGGTTAGCACACACATTGGCCATCAAGGTACCATTAAAGAAAGGATTACATGCCTGTTCTTCTCAACCAGGGTCTGATTACCCCTGGATGCACCATTTCATCTTGGAATATGGAATAAATGCAGTGTATCATTATACTGCAATACCTGTTTATTTAAAATAAAATAATCAGGTCAAGTAAAGTCTTTTATGCTATCACTAATTGTATCAGAGGGGTAGCCTTGTTAGTCTGGATCTGTAAAAAGCAACAAAGAGTCCTGTGGCACCTTATAGACTAACAGATGTATTGAAGCATAAGCTTTCATGGGTGAATACCCACTTCGTCAGACTCATACACTAATTGTGTCATTCCCAGTCCTCTACTAAACTAAATTATCTGTAGCGGCCCCAAAGGCTCCAACCTTAAATAGTTCAGTTTAGTTCTATTCCTTATCTTTAAACCAGTAATTGGGAACACACACCATTCAAGTTAATCAGCAGCATACAATTTAGATATTCCCAGTTGAGGTGGTTCTGATAACAGTGAGTTCAGCAGAAACCAGTCATAACCAGGAAGTAAAGTCAAGGGTCTGATTAACATTAAATTAAGTATCTTTGGTGGAAACATACTTTAAAAACCCACCAAGTCTGATCTTTTACCTTTTCTGTGTACAAGAACAAGTACTGCTTTTTAAAGGTTGAAATACTACACTTAACTTACTGTAACAACATCCTGTTGATCCTAATTAACATAGCACAAATAATATTTCTTCCCTCGATGTGTCCCTGATTCAGCAAAACATTTAAAATACATGCTTGAACTTGTTCATGGCACACCTTCAAGGGAAAAGCAAACCCAGTAACACCACATGTTCTCCAATGTCAGCAATAACGAATCACAAAGGACCATAGTAATGATGGAAAATACGTGTCTCAAGCTTTGACTTTATTATAACCTAGTATTGTTTGGTATGTACCATAACATTAAGGTACAACATTTTGGGGATACACAAATTTTAAGGTATGTTAGTGGCATTTTAGTTTCAACAACATTAGTGTGATTTAGGGATCAAACAAACCCATCAGATTTAACATTTTATTTTTATTCCACATCTCTGAGTTTTACCTGCTACCGCATATGTGCTCCATTATTTAAAATTCTGAGTACCTGGCTGGTAGTTTGTAAATAAAACTTTGTCCATCTTCTGTCCATATGATCACTTTATCAGCTGATACAAAGTCACCGCCAGTCCACGTTTGTCCATTTTCACTGGGAACTGAACATAACAAGGAATAATCTCCAGCATCAAAAACCTAGAAGTAAGCAAAATTAAACAAAAACAAAAAGTCTATTTGTTTATCATTACATGGTCATATTTTAGATGTTTGGATAGCTGATAATTTAATACCTCCACATATTTAGTTTTAAGGAACATTCAATTCTATTGCCTATGGCAGCATTTACTTAAGAAGATACTTAATACATACTCAATTCCATAAAATAACCAAGAAAATACATTTGTTACAGAAATTATAATGTCTGTGTCATATTTGCAATCCTTTGATACACATTACAAATATGGTACAGCATATCATGCTTTCTATTTATTTAAATTTTGCTGATTTTTGTCTGCATAAAACAAAACCATATCAACTATTTAACCTTCAAAAGGGGTTTTCATCTATTTTTTAAATAATGTCCAAAACGTGAACGCAACATACTCCCATCGCTGTGAGCCAATATACATGAATAGACTAAATACTCAATGAACTCAGAGCTCTAATTGATTTATAAACACTTTCCCAAGCTTCTTTCCCTATGTCTCACTAACAGTTTTATTAAATCAGCCTCTATTGCTAAGAAAAAGCCAGTTTTTTTTACTTAACTGGTTATCCTTACCCTCCAGTATTTGGAGCACACTACCAAAAGTGATCGTTGGGTAAATGCACAGAAAGAAATGCTTTGGCAGTTTTGACAATAAATTGGTTTAGACTCCTCCTCAAATACTGGTTCCGTATCCTAAAAGAGAAAGAAAGAAAGTTACCTTTAATTAACCCTATGATACCTAAAATTGTTCTGCTTTGTGCCAGGATTCTCAAATTATGCTCTCTGGACCTCTGAGAAGGTTTAAGGAGCATTTCAGGTGGTCCCACAGAACTTCTTCTGTCACAATAGCAAAACATTTATCAAGCTTCAAGCAAGGACATTTCCTGAGGGGTAGCCCAAGATACAAAGATGTATGGGTGTAATCCCATGTGGATGCAACATGTTTTACTCTGTCAGATATTTCTTTGGTGAAAATGCAACCAGGATCAAATTTGCAGACTGCCAAAACTAAAGGGATAGGAAGCATACAGAAGAGTAGACCAAAAACCATGAAGTGGCATTGGTCGTCAGATGTTCGGCTGTGTCTGTGTTCCCTCCATATGCCGTGCCAGCTCTGCGCAGATAGCTGGCACAGCAGACCTCGAGCGAACCACCCAATAAGACCACAAGACATGGTTTAGTAGCGAAGGGGCCTGGGCAGGTTTACTGTCGACGAAGCACAGTAATAGCACCTGGTAGACTCTACAAGTATACTAAGACATGTATGCCCATGACAATGGACGCAGCTCGGTCAGTGGCAGGACTTTCCACTGCTCCCTAGGCTGGCAAAGACACTCCCTCTGAGATACATCTTTATACACCAATACAAACAAATTACGTATTACCTCGACGTATCTAAATGCCACCTTCTGATGTATTTGGGTGCCACCCATTACCTCGTACATGTTGGTTTGATCAAAACATTTCTATCCATCATGCTGTCATCCTGACCTTATCTTTAGGATGGGTCAGTGCGTTTCTGTTATCTTTGGGGAATGTCCTGGTATCGAGGTGTTCTGGTACCAGCTGGTATCGAGGTGCTCTGGTACCAGCTTTCTGGAATGTGTTTGCGTATATAGTCTTATGCCTAGCACTACTTAGGAATGTGTGTTTCTGCAATATCAGCCTTGTTCTTGCCAGATTCTCTGAGCAGGGCCTGCCTCTTGCTCACAACTTAACTTTGCTTTATATTAGCAAGTTTTGACCATTACTTTAGCCCAGGCCTCAGGGCTCATACCAGGTCACTAATACAAGGCCTTATGTTTCAGGCCCTCTCCTTACTACAGCATATAGAAATTAGAGAAGTGAGGGCTGCAGGCAACAAGTGGAGACTCAGTTATAGTAAACTGAAAGCCCTATGTCAGGGAAAAGCGGGGGGAAAACAATGTAGAGACAAAATGGATAAGATATAATCAAGCAGCCACACTCCTTATGTCAAATGAGTTTATTTTATATTTGACCCCTTTCACGTTAACGAGTATTAGAGCTACCAGAGGAAAAGGTAGCATCTGAAGAAGCGAGGTTCTTACCCACGAAAGCTTATGCTCCCAGTACTTCTGTTAGTCTCAAAGGTGCCACAGGACCCTCTGTTGCTTTTTACAGAGGAAAAGGGTGCACTTAGGATTGGGAGAAGTGTTCATAAGAAGATCTCATCATAAATGATCCACATGATAAAGTTTGAGAACCACTGTTTAGTCAGTTACCAAGAAAAATTAGGTAAAATGTTCAAGAGTGCCTACATCCTAGGTAGGCACTCTTAAACATTTTACCCTCTATTAATAATAAAAACTTATGACAAACTGGAAAGGGACGCAAGAAAGAGGGAGAGGAAGAAGGGAGGGGGGAACAAGACAGCTAGTAGACAGCTACCTCATTTCCTAGCTTTTGTGGTTTTGTGCACCTAAGAACACCAAAGCAGTTTGGTGATCTCCTCCTCCCGTTGTTCCAACCATAAAATTTAGTATATGTTATGATTGGCAGTGTGCTTAGAAAAGACCCTGAACTGAAACGTAGGAGGGATGCACGGGGAGCATTGTTGGGGAGAAGAATAAGAAGCTTATACAATGACTTGTCTGTGAAATTCCCTGGCTCTAGCCAATGACATCAGCCTCCTAACTTTCATAAAAACTGGATCTAATTTAAGGAACAAAAGAGAAAGGATTGGTTCAGTGGTTAGGGCTCTACTGTGGGACTCAAGGACCTCAGTTCCTGTGTAACCATGAGCTACTCACAATCTCTCTGTGCTCCTGTTCCCCCATCTTTAAAATGATAATGTTTCACTGCCTATAGGGGTGTTGTATAAAACACAACGAATATCATGAAGTGCTCAGATAATGTGGGGGTCTTAAGTATCTCAGAAAGATAGACAGTAAGCAAAGATAACACATCAATAATTGTACTTGTCTTATAATATATAGTTAGTTTTTCTATATGGAAATCTTAATAAAAATCTTCCATTTAAATTTATCACTCAAAATAAAGTTTAATAAGACAACAGTGGATATGTCTACACTGCATTTTAAAACCCAGGGCAATGAGTCTCCAACAGATTCAAGCTCACACCACAGCAGTAAAAACTGCAGTCATTCAGGCTCGAGTTTGGACTATGAAGCCCGGCATTGAGAGGTGGGCTTCAGAGCCTGAGCCACCATATTTACACACTTGTTTTTAGTGCCATAATACTACTAGTTTGTAGACCAGAGCTAAGAGTCTTGCGTTTGCAGGTTTTAAATCACAGTGTTGACATACCCAATGTGCATGTAATGAGAAACGGAAAATTCTGTGTTTCATAAGAGACCAGATGACCATCTCCCAAGGAAGAGCCAAAAAACTTTTTGGAGGTCTTATGAGACTAATAGAATAAAAAGATCTGCAAGAGCTGGTGGTAATCTAGTCTGTCACTGGTAAACCTAACAAATTCCTCTGCAGGACAGATTAGTGCTGCCTATTTAGTACTGATGTTGTCAAGTGAGTGATCTTGCCTGTAGACAGTCAGCTGAGCCTAACTAAATAGGATGGATATTGTTTTAAATTCAAGCTGCACTTTCTCAGGGAGCCCAACATCTTTGTAAGAAAAATTAGATGACAAAGTCTTTTATGTGGTTTGATTACCTCTTTGCTATCCACATCTTTCCAAAACAGCCCAGATCCCTTGCAACTAGAAATTTTTAACATTTTAACACTGTTTTTAAGGAAGACTTTTAAATTAAGAAACACTAGTTGTATCAAACATGCCAAATTACTCTAGAGCAAACTCTGGCAATTTCAGTAAGTGAAACAGTAGAAAAAGGAGTTCCCCTTTTTTTCCAGTCTCTGCCACAGAGGACGAACAAGGATCAAGTAACTGCTCTCTTTTTCAACCAACAGACACACAATCCCTGTTTGTAGTTTCCAAAACAGGTCTCAGAATTGTTTACTAAAGTGAGTAACTCAGCTATTTGAAGTCATCATCTATATTTGATCTTATACATAGTAAAGATAATTGATGCCCCCTTAATATTCAAGAGCAGATGCAGCCTTCTAAATTAAAGCAACAAAAACTAAATTAGCTGTAAAGATTTACACCGTGGGAAAAGTTTGCAGATGTTTAGCTTTGATGTACACAACATATGAATCTCCTGTGGGCAGCTAAAATGCTAGTAGTCTCCTAAAAGTGTTACACACCTTTTTAGAGAAAGATTCTTTACTTTACTGACTGGCACCAGTTCAGATGCTGACAGTACAGGAGGGCAGGAATAACAGACTATCATACCGAGGATTTATAGCTATTTATGCAATTCTATCTGCTGCTCTGCATGGTACACTGAAATCTTCACTTACCAAAACTCTCTCTGCAATCCTCTCAAAGGGCTTTTTTAAGTCACTTACAAAGTACATCATGCAAGGTTCAGAATGGGGTGGGATAGGGGAGTTAACTCTGAAGAAAAGGATGGTATTGTGGTTAAGGCACAGTTCTGGAAGGCAATAGATCTGGGTTAGTTTCCCAGATCTGCCACAGATTTCTTATGCACCTTAGGTAGGTCACTTAAATCTCTCTGTACCTCAGTTACTCCATATGCATAATAGGGATAATAAAACTTCCTGTCTGTCTCCCACGTCTATTTAGACTGTAAGCTCCTTGAAGCAGGGACTGTCTCTTATTATGTGCTAGGTGCTGTTGTATACACAATGAGACCTCAATCTCCACTAGAAACCCTAAGAGCTACTAGAATAAAATAATCTCTGAAAGTTTGCCTTCTGAGTCTACTTTTCCATATCCCCATTGGAAATTCTGTAAAAATGCACAAGAAGAAGTCATTACTGGAGAGAGGGAGAGAGAGTAAGCTGGAGGAGAATGGAGAGAGAGAAAGAAAGTAAAGTGAAAAGTATATATGCATCAATATTTAAAGCCCCACCTTCATCCTGCAAAGCTGGTTGTAATTTCCTTGCAGTACAAGTAATTTTTAAATCACCAAATAACACAGCATTAAATGGAGAGGGGGGAACAGGGGGCAGACTTAGCACTAGACTCTCTCTCTGGACTTAACTTTAAGAGTCAGACCTCTAAGAAGGTGGCACGAGACATGGACAATAGAAAAATGACATCCCTAAAGAGTTTGCAGCTGATCTAAGGGAGAATTTAGAGAATAAGGAGTCCCTTTTTGGAAGGCAGAGGAGAGGTTAATTATTATGGCTCTTGGGCAGCTGGAGGATCACATAAAAGATGCTGACCAAAAGAATTTCTCTGTTCAACAATACTAAGAGGAAAAAATTATGGGACTCAACACAGAGAACATACCGAGAGTGGCCCACAATGGAAATTGCAGAGCCTTGTTCATGCCCCATGCAATGTTTGACAGTGAAGGAAGAATTCAGATTCAGAAACTTCTCTGCTTACCTGCATCCGACTAACTTCAGAAGTTACAATCCACACTTTCAGAATACCAGTCACTGAAACTGCTACGACAGTATCCTCTGGTGGGTGAGAGAGGGACACGAAAGAAGTTACAATAAAATGAAAGATATGTTGTACAAGAGTTTACAAACATCAAAAATATTCTAAAAGTTTTTAATGAATTCATGAAATGCTTGTTCCAAATTCAAGTGGTTAAATTAGAACTGGCAAATTATATGCAAAGAAAACAATGCGCTAATTTCCCATTTGTTCTTTTGCTTTGTGGGAGTGAGGAATTCTCTGCATACATACATAGAGCTCAAATTGGGGAGAAATAAAAATGATGGAGTGGCACTCTCCCAAGCTCTGCACATGAGCCAAGCTCTGCCTACGTTAGATGTCAAAATAAGACTCCACTCCAAGTAGATTGTGCAGATGTGATCACATAAACTCTTAAGAGTTGGGTCTCCCTCTGTGGGGTTTGGATAGACCCATGCACAGGGCCAGGTTACATAGTAGTAACGATTTATTGAAAACGTATGGAGACTGAACTACACTACCATTCCTAGAAGCGACTGCTCTGAATTACAGTTCAGGCCAGTATACAAAACCAGGGTCTGAACAGTAATTCTTACTCTGTGGATTAACAAAAAAAAAAACTGCAGTCTCAAAGGCTACCAAGCCTGTACCTTTCACCGACACCAAATTCTTAATGATTTTTGGCAAAGATAGCCTTAATCCTTCAAATGGAAGAAACATTTGAAAACGTGTGATTTCAACATGAGGTGACACATTCCAGTCTAGACTTTGCCAGGAGACTAGAAAAAAAAGTAGCTGTTTTTCTTACTTAAAAAAGAAAAGTACAATAAACCCAAACAACTTCTCATTACCTTGTGTTCTATGGGATCGAATAATACTCATGGAGCTGATCCAGTCGGGAGAAATCTTTGACACTAAGGAATAAAGAACCTCGAGACTGGTAGCATCCACAACAAGAATTTCTGGGTAATGGCCATGACACAGTAGCCTGCCTTCACGCTGAGTCCCAACTGTGAACTGGTAGAACTGTTGTAAAGAGAACAGAGTCCCTTAAGAAACCAGTTAATATTTTTTAAATCACAAACTAATTATAGGTTTTTGATCTCTATGGTGTTATTGGTGCATTACAATTATTTTCTATTTTCATAAAATTATTTTGATAAGTTAGAATTCCTTGATTAACTAGCAGAGGCCAGCCGGTATTTACAATTTGTTTGTTTGTTTTTAAATCCATACTCCCTTCTGCCCCAAAACACATTGTGGTATTACATCACATAACCAAATATTTTAAAAATTTCTGGAACTGGCTGACCAAATATTTGGCTTTACATTCCAGCTGGTCTCTGTGGGGAGCAGTGCTACTTGCCTGATGATAAATATAATCGCTGTAAATTAATTCTTGACAAATTTTCAAAAGCTGAAATGCAACCCATTTTAGGGTGACAATGTAGAAATATATTTTATAAACTGGCATAAGTGAACTTGTGAAGATAACAGCCCAGTATTAGCAACAAGACTACAGCGATGGAGCTAAATAGTTCCTCAACTGTATAAAATATAGTACAGGCCCTCTCAAGCATTTTAGCATTTACATGAATACAATACCAACCTGTATTCCAGTATGGGTGCAGGCGAGTTTTGTAAATTCTATACATCTCCCATCATTCACATCCCACAGACACATCTCCCTAAAAAACACATAGGGTAAGTAACTCTGATCATGCCCATGCACTTCATTTTTCAAAGGACTTGCAAGTTACAGAATTATTTTGGTTTCAAGAAAGCTATATTGGGTCATCTAGTCCAGTGACTCTCAACCTTTCCAGACTAGACTACTGTACCCCTTTCAGGAGTCTGATTTGTCTTGCGTATCCCCAAGTTTCACCTCACTTAAAAACAACTTGCTTACAAAATCAGACATAAAAATACAAGTGTCACAGCACACCATAGGCGACGATCCCATGAGTGCTCTAGGACTGGAGCACCGACAGAAAAAAAATTAGTGGGTACTTAGCACGCACTAGCAGCCAGCTACCCCCTCCCCGCAGCGCCTCCCGTCTGCCAGTGGCCCCACTGAACAACTCCTTCCTCTCCGTCACAGTACCTCCCACCCAGTGCAATCAGCTGTTTCATGGTGTGCAGGAGGTGCTGAGTGGGTGAAGAGCGGGGGCAGGGTGGAACTAGGCAGGAAAAGGTGGGACAGGGGTGGAAAGAAGCGGGGTGGAGGCGTGGCCTGGGGCAGGAAGAGGCGGGGCGGAGGCTGCAGCTTGTTGGAAGGGGGTGGAGCAGGGGCTGAACACCCCCAGGGCCCAGAGGAAGCTGGCGCCTGTGCAGTACACTATTACTGACAAATTGCTACTCTCTCATTTTTACTATATCATTATAAAATAAATCAATTGGAATATAGATAGTGTACTTACATTTTAGTGTATGGTATAAAAAGCAACAAACAAGTTATTGCCTGTATGAAATTTTAGTTTGTACTGACTTTGCTAGTGTTTTTTTCGTAGCCTGCTGTAAAACTAGGCAAATATCTAGATGAGTTGATGTAACCCCAGGAAGACCTCTGCGTATCTCCCAGGGTACACAAGCCCCTGGTTGAGAACCACTGATCTAGTCCATTCCAAATGCTTAGGTCAGGTAGCAGTCAGCCTTCTTTTAATTCCCCTTCCTTTTTCAGAGTCATCTCTCTCTATTTTTTAAATCCACAGCCTTCCATGCAAGGTCTGCTTCTCTGGCATTTTTTTAGTTACAATGGAAAGAAGAAGAGAGGAGCCAAGACTTGTCACAAATAATAAATAAATAAATAAATAAATAAATAGGATGCTTGTGTAGAGATCAGGGCTCCCGATTTCTCTCGTGCAAATATTTTCAACAACCTTTATTTCCAATCACCTATTAAATACTAAGACTAAAGAACTAGGTTTTCCTTTTCCATATCTTAAAGCACCACTGCTTTTACTGCTTTATCATGTGGCAGTGAAGACTGAGGGTAATTTCACAGCTTTTAAATTGCTGAAAAGTGAAAGTATCACTTGATGCTGCTAGGTGATGGGGCAGACAGGTGCCACACTGGCACTGAGAGGATTAAGGAGAGCCTGTGGACCCAGCTGGCCTTGCAGTCAATGTCAGGCATGGAGAAGAGAGTTAGAAGGCGGAGACCTAGCCCAGTTGAGATCTAACCAGGAAGGAGAACAGAGCTCTGCTGCTTCCTCAATGAGGAAAATCTGTTTCTAGCCAAAAACCTAAGGTTCCATGCTAGATGGATGAGATGACCAAGCACAGGACAAGGAGAGACTAACTGCACAGACACTAGCCTGGAGACCTGCCAACAAATCCTTGGATTATCCTGATTTTTAGTATTTTTAGAATGTTTTCCTTTGTTTTGGACTCGAATATGCTGGAAAGGGTACAAAGGGGTGCATGCAGTAGGGCTGAGGCACCAAGTCATTGTCTCTATGAGAGGCGACAGTTGCCCATCAGAGACCTGCTGTGGGGAATTGTTCCTTGACGAACTACAAATGGGCGCCACCTAGACAACCAGGTTGCTTAAGCTGAATCCACCAAATAAACAATTTAAAAGTATCATCCAGTGGAGATTTTTCTTACAGACTAGGAGAATGTGTATTATCATTTTGAAGTCGCTTTTCTCTTGGTTAATTCCACTCAATGTCCAGGCAGGTGAGCACAGGATGCTTGGACCTGGATGAAGTATTTCATGGAAAGAAGCATCGATGGATTCTCTGATGCAATAAGCAGACCCCAAAAAAACCATTTTGCTTACTCAGCTAAATACTTAGAGGATGATCAATGCTGTGTTCTTTATTTAATAATTCGTCACTAGAATGGGAACATGGAATTATAGAGGAGCCCACTAGAAGATCTGATCAAAACTTTTCCAGAGGTATGTTTTCATTTAAAAATATCAAAATGAAGCATTTTATTAAGGCCATAATATTCCATTTCAACCTTGTTGTAAGAAACATTTAAAACTTCCCATTTATTTCTAAATTTATTTTTTTATATTTTTATTTTATCACCCTACAAATTACTATTTAGAGAACCAATTACAAATTACCAGTTGGAATATCAAATCACCAATTTTTATTATAATTTAAAATTTAATCTCTAACTTTAACAAAGATTTCAAAGTCAAAATAAAACATTTTGATTGATTCTAACTGAAATACTTTCGGAGACTTTGTTTTGTGGGAAATTTCTACTTTTCATTTAAAATCAAAATGAAAAAAGCTGAAATGTTGGAAGATCCCATGGTACAGAAATTCCAAATTTCTGTCAGTTCTTCTCACTATTTCAAGATTGGGAGGTCACGTAGAGCTACAACTCTGACCATTCCAGCTGCAGAAGAGGAGAATCTCCTTACTACGTATTTGGATACAAACAGATCTATAACTGGTTAACCACATTTCTTGACTATAAATCAGAATGTTAAGGGGTAAAGAGTTTGTCTCATTCATTTGATTGAAGCAATATTGCTTACACCAATATTGAGGTACACCTTGAAATGTATGGCTCATATCCAAAGTCGATGGGACTTTGGAGTTCTGTTTTTTGTTGTTGTTGTTGAACGTGTTTGTGTACCCAAAGAAACCACTCATTCAAACGATTAATTCTTCAAAAACCCCTTAACAACAGACCAGTGCTCTGACCAACGTGACTTTTGTGAACACTCTCAGGGCAGATGCCAGGACAAATGGAAAAGAGTTGAATTGGAAATACTAAAACCCAGTAGAAACCTCAGGTTACTTTTGGTGGAAGAGAGTGATAGGGATGTAAAAAGAGGCATTGTTAGGTCCATTAATGCCATGAAATCAGGTGGCCTTTGTGATCCATGATTGGCAGCCTGGATCTGATTGATTCTGTTTGGAATACTTGCGATTCATTAACTTGTTCACCCATTACATATAAAAAGCATTAGGTCCCTCTCTCTTTAGGTCCACAAAGAATTTCAAGTAAATTCCCTTTAAAGTTTCTGTTTGTCCGTGGCTAGGACCCTAGTCCACAGACTCTAAAAGATTTCCAGCAGTTTCCGGGGGGGCCTCTCCTGATCTAAAAAAAGAGGAAGGAGAACACTAAGGGCTTCTCTACACATGGAGTTACTCTGGAATAACTATTGCACTTGAAATTCACATCTTACGTTATTCTGGAATAATTTTCAGGTATAGACAAGCCCTAAAAAGGAAAGGTGGCATAACTCAAAGAGTTACCATCTAGGGAAAGGAGATCCAACAGTTAGAGGAGATAGCTTCCCACTGGAATGAGAAAGAAAATGCAAGCTCATCTCTGCACAGTGCAAGTCCACAGAGTGGAAACATTGAGAGCCCAAAGCCTTTGTGACACTATTAAGCGTCTGAGGGAAATAAGGCTTATGCTTACTTGAAGTATACGAAAAAAAGAAATCGCTACCCCTGTTCCTAAAAACAAATTAGGCTTATACTTGGAAGAGAACCTCGTGACTGCAAGGAATGACTTTTCCTCGAGGAAGAGGGTTCTGGCCTATTTTCCATCCACCATGTGATGGTTTGGTTGGTTTCATTGTGGAGGAGAGGTGTCAGAGTAAGCCAAACTGTAGCAGAGGATTGATTCTGCAAGAAAATATGAAAATTTTAAAAAGATACCTCACTAAAAAGAGTGTTTCTGGCTCACTGCATAGGGAGACCTCTCAGACTCCAAGAACACGTGGCAGCCATATTAGGCAGAAATGCCAGGGCTGAGGAAAATCAAATGGCTACATTCTGTAGATGATCTCTGAGTTTAAGGCCACGAGAAATGATGAGACACCGAACTTCTTGCAATAAAGAAGGAAATAAGTGACTCGGTAGTGTGCTAGAGACTGGCCTCAGAAAAGCAAGAAGAGAGAAAAAGAACAGCAGAGCCGAATGGCACTGAGGGAGAAGGAACAACAGAAATAAGGGGCTGCCTGGAAATGCTGAAAGAGGAAATCCAAACTGGTATGCAAAAACTTTAATTGTGGAGTTGTTACATCTGAGCTTCCTAAAAAGAGGTAAAAGTGGAGAGATCACATAGGATGCTGCTAACCACCCCCCACCCCTCAATAATAATAATAAACCTAGAGACTTGAAAGTGAAAATTCATGATTATCAGCAGGAAAAAAAATAATTATGAAGCAAACCAGAGAGCATTCAGAGCTCATATTCAAAGGCCACAAGCTGCAATTCTTTTCATGACCTCTCTGCCCTAACTTTAGAAAAGAGAAGAGAGCTGGGGGAAATTACAGCAACACTCAGAAGGCCAGATATCTGCCACACTGGGAATTCCCATTTAAACTCTCATTCAGGTTCTAAACTCAACATTATACAGTAAGAGGCTTGGGGGGGGGGAGGAAGAAGGGGGACACACTCCAATCCAAATTTCATATGTACAAGACGACTCTCCAGAGGTAGTAATTACAGATAAGCTTATGAAAAAAATCTTGGCAAAGAGTGAAACCCAGGAAAAAAAAGAAAAGAAAGTCTCTAGTGACCATATTGGCAATGGCAGTAGTGAAGCTGAACAAGAGAACTTGGATACCTGAGAATAACCTAAAGACTAACCAGAAGGGACTTCTTGGGAGTCACCAGGAATTAACAGATGAATAATAACTACGTAAATGCTATAAAGGAAATAGTATGAATTTGCTTTAATTGGGGGTGATCATTAATAGCTG